TCTTTATATTTTTAAAAGATTTCTTCATTTGTATTTTCTCTTTGAGCCTTTTATTCTCCCCCGGGAGTAAATTCCAGAATCTAGATACTCTCCTCTCTTCTATGGGAACCAAAATGAAGGGACATTAAGGTACTTGTCTGAGGTGAGAAGCTCAGTGGGAGCAGAGAAGACTGAACCCAGGCCTAGTGACCCGCCTGTGCCTCTGTGATGGCATTTGTACTTGAAGAAGGCACTGCCCTGCCTGCTATCGCTGCTCTCCACTTTTAAGAGTGAGACTATTAATTCACTCCATAATGCCTGTGCTTAATGTATCGCCTCTGTTCCCTCTGGGAGGCAGTGGTTCGTACCCGAGCCAGGATCTGCTTTGGAACTTACACCTGAGCTGGAGCCCCCTGCTCTTCCACTTGGTTTCTAGATGACCTTGTTCAGATACAACAGGCGAGGGAGATGAAAAGCACAGAGGAGTTGAAGTGGGGTAGTGAGGATCTGTCGTGAGAAAGCATAGGAAGCACCTGTGCCAGACAGACGGCCGGCGGGTGCTGAGCCCCTCCTGCACCTTTAATAGACAAAGCTCTTTTGGGATGGATGAGAGCCTTTCTCGCTCTAAGCCTACAGAGGTCAGTTCTCAATAACAGACGCAAAAATGACTAGACCAGTGATGGCGAACCTTTTGAGCTCAGCGTGTCAGCATTTTGAAAAACCCTAACTTAACTCTGGTGCCCTGTGCCAGACAGACGGCAGGCGGGTGCTGAGCCCCTCCTGCACCTTTAATAGACAAAGCTATTTTGGGATGGATGAGAGTCTTTCTCCGCTCTAAGCCTACAGAGGTCAGTTCTCAATAACAGACGCAAAAATGGGACTAGACAGTGTCAGGGAACACTGCCAAGAAGTGCTGGTTGTTTTCAGAGACTACATTACCAACACTGTGCCAGGCGGCCCACTTGCTTGGGTTTTAGTAGCTCAGTCAGTAAGACCAGCCGGTTGTGTTTCAGAGTGATAATTGGTTGCATTGAATCCCCAATAATCTGCTTTTCCATGATTTCTTAAGGTCGGCTAACTTTAAGAAGTAGATTAATATTTTAAAATTTTAACTTTTCCATATCAACTCGAATGTTGGCAAAGCTTAAAAACCTCCACTGCTAAATTTAACTTCTAACTGGAAACGACCAAGAACCCCAATTTCTGCAAGTCTTATGATCTAGGAACTTGTTGCCAGTGACATATTGTCCAGCAACCAGAGATCTGGAGGTAAAAATGGAGACTGCCAGCACTTTTTGCTTCTGGATCTTAAAATAGCAACATTGAAAATTCTGAATGTGAAACTAGTCGTGTCCATTCAAATGTTTGATGCTCAACAAGTGTTAAGTGGTACATGCTTAACCAGCCCATTCTTCTAGGAAATGATTGGTTTGGAGGAGGAACAGGGTAATCCTATTTTTTGTTAAAGGACTGGTACTTTTCAACTGTGATGAGATAGAATGATGAATGGCCACTATGTGTTGGTTGAGGTTGAGAGTTAAATAATTGGCATTAATACTGTATAAAAAGGATTAGTTGATTAAGTAGTGGCTGATAAGAATTTGTATTGATTATTTTTTTAATGCCATACATTAAAATTTGCCAAGATAATCAAGATAACTGAGACTTTCTTTTCTCCAGATAAAATTGTGAGGAAAGCTGGCAATCTGACAAATGCATATGTGTACGAAGTAGGCCCTGGGCCAGGGGGAATCACAAGATCCATTCTCAATGCCGGCGTTGCTGAACTTCTGGTGGTGGAAAAGGACAGTCGCTTCCTTCCTGGATTGCAGGTAAGATACTTAGTGTCTTTTTAAAAGCCCAGTTGAAATCTTTAGGCCAAGACTTAAGCCCCCCCATCCCTGAGGATTCGATAGGGTACAGTCCCCAGGCTACATCCCAGAGATTTTGATTCGTTGTCCGGAGGCCTAGAAGGCTGCATTTCTAACGCATCCTCACGTGGTCCGTTGACCAGGATCGAATGAACCTGCTATTATAAAAACACGAAACAAACTCACTGTTCTGTGTCACCTTTTTAAAAATCTAATATCTGTGGGCGTTATGGCCCATCCCTGGAAAAATAAATAAGGATAAGTAATGGTAAAAATGACTCAGCATGACTTCTGAGAGCTTCATTTAGTTCAGAAAATTATTTCTACAAGCAGAAGATGGAGAAGACATTGGCTTAACTGAGAGACTAATAGTTAAGCTTAGGCATTCATAGAAGAGCATTTTTAAAGTGAAGGAGTGGAGTAGTACCACTTTGTGAATAGATTCAAGATGCGGTGTGAATGAAATGATACGTGCATCTTCAAAACAGTCGGTACTGTTATTGCATGAGAATTACTTGAAGGAACTAGGCACTTTTCAGCTAGACAACAGAAGCCTTGAGTGAGGGAATTCAAAGCCTCATATCAAGGTTGGCAGGGAGAGGATAAACTTGTTTTGATCTTTGCAAGGAAAGAATTAAAACAAATAGGTGGGAAGTGAAGAAAGCAGGTGCAGATTTAAAATTAAAAGGGACAGCCCATGCCAGGTAGCTCGGTTGGAGCGTTGGCCCGTGTACCGAAAAAGGTCGCAGGTTCAGTTCCTGCTCAGGGCACATACCTAGGTTGTATATTCCATCCCTGGTCAGGTATTTTCTCTCTCCCTCTCCTTGGCCCCCTCCTGCGTCTCTCTGTCCCTTCCTATCTCTCTAAAAATCAGTAGAGACGTATTCTCAGGTGAGGATTAAAAAAAATAGTAAGAAGAAGGGACATACATTTTAAAAACGTTGTCAAACAGTGATCTTTTTAAAAAAATATATATTTTACAGAGAGGAAGGGAGAGGGATAGAGAGTTAGAAACATCGATGAGAGAGAAACATCGATCAGCTGCCTCCTGCACACCCCAACTGGGGATATGCCCGCAACCAAGGTACATGGAATGGAACCTGGGACCCTTCAGTCCGCAGGCTGATGCTCTATCCACTGAGCCAATCCGGTTAGGGCCAGTGATCATTCTTCATCGGGGACACTTAATGACTGAAGGGCCTTTGATTCCCCAAACTAAAACTTTTAAGAGCCTTTAGCAATTTATTAAAGGTGAGTCCAATAGAATAGTCAAATTATCTGCATGATTATTTTCATACCAGAGGAACAGTTGGTTTTAAATTAGCACACTCTAATACTTATGTGTATGTGTATCAGTGGGAAAATATTTAATTTCTGCCAGAACACTCTGAGAAAATTTATTTGGAAATCTAGGGCTGTGTGTGCATGCATCTGATTTTTAAAAGAAACTTAGTGATTTTTTTTCTTACTATTTTGCTATATCCTGTTTTACAAAATTTTATATTTACTTGGATCTAATTTTGCCAGTCTTTATTGACAGAATTGGTTTCAGACTTATAAGTTTATTTGTGGATATTATGTGGTACATATTCCTTGATCAAATGTGGAATATTGAATTTTTGCTTTGAGCTGCTTTCTTATTTTAAGAACTGTATCTCAATTGGAAGTGGAAGTGGGGATATTATTTTGGGTGAGATCATAAGATGAGAAAAAGAAACTGAACAGCACTACATAATTCTCTCAGGCTTAATCATCTAGCCCTTTTTGGACATAGGGGATACTCCTCTGATATTTGTCTCTTAAACAGACTTCTTAACCCTCAATCTCACCCAATATTACATGCAATTCTTTCTCATTGGGCAGGGAGGTGAATCACATTTCTGTCCGTCCCCATCTTAATTCACATATTCTCTCCAATTTCAACTAA